GCTTGACCAGATGGTGAATCCTCACTGGCCTTACCTTCCTAAACTTAAAGAAACCTATCAAACTGATGAAGAGATGGAAGGAATTGAAGGGGCTTGGCGTACAATTACAGATGATCCTCTAGAGTATCATTTTTGTTATCATATTTTGGATGGAGATGAAGGAGGACGACCCCCAATGCTTTCGCAGTCAAATGGAGAAGTCCAGACAGTTAATGAACACTTTAACCCAAGAGACAAATCTTGTCTACATGTTATTGCAAAGAGCAAACATATGGTAATGGTTAGGTCTAGATTGAAAACAAATTATTGTCATCTTTTCTAGTGCATGAATAAGGGTCTATTTTCATTTTGCTTAACTTGATTGTACTGACTGTTACTTACAGAATAAAGAGGGAAAATTACCCCAAACTTGCTTGTTTACATGAATATTTTAGGCAATGCAGAATCATTCAATGAACTTAAATGAAAGGGGACTACAATTATCAAGGGGAATGCATGCTAGACAAATTTTGTGTGTTTCCAGCTTTTAATTGTTTTGAAAACAGATGAACAGAATATGTTATCCACTGCCTGATAGGAGAAGCACACATGTGCTTTAGCTGTATTGCACCCTTGTACATGGTAAACCAACTAGTCATTACAAATAAAAATGTTCCCCTTGCAAAGAAAATTTAGAAATAGACTGGGCTTGTTTTGTTTTTTTGTTTGTTTTGTTTTGTTTTGTTTTTTTTATTAAACTGGACTGATAACAGATTACTTTCATTTTCAGGAGGCATTACAACATCCTGTGGTCAGAATGTTGGTTAAGACCAAATGGAAAAGCTATGGACACTTTTTTCTGAGGTGATCTTGTTTTTGTTATTTTGGTAGGTAACGAGGGGCTAATCAATGCTGAAGCACACCCAATGTGCCATTCATCGCAACAAGTATTGGCAAGAAGATTTCATGGATGATTTAAATGAATAATTTCACATAGTTTTATCTCATCAAAATGCCTGATCTAAACCTGTAATTATTTCCTGTGAAATCTGTTAGATTTGCATTAATTTTTGTGGTTCAATCAACTGTACAGATTGGATTATTTTTGACATGTGTTCATGATCAGTTGGAGCTTTGGTGCTGTGTACACAGTAGCTTACAGGGTTGAGTTTTGTTGAATATTCAGTTCCGAAAAGCTGCGACTAGAACAAATACCTGTAAACAAATGTAGCTTGTTAAATTCTTTGATTGTATATTGTAACTTACTTTACTGCAAAGTGTGGCATAATTATGTATTTTAATATTTTTCTCACATATACACACAGCCTTCAAGCAGCTTTGTATGTCATCTTCTTGCTGTTCCTGTCATATTCTTTGCTTCATGCCTCCACAAAAGTGGACCCTACCCAGTACAGGGATGCAGGAGACTCATTCCGTGGATTTTGTGAGATCGTCTCCCTTGTTGTGGTTACCTTTTACTTCGGTGAAGAAATCAATCAAATGTGTATGTAAGTAATTGATGGTTCATTAACCCTTTAACTCACAAGATCTCTTTACTGATTCTCCCTAATGTTTGCCATAAAATACTTATGATTTCAAATTGGAGAATTTGTTAGTGGATCAAAATTTGTAGTCCCCTTATTGAGTTTTGTTCTTTATTCTCCTCACTTGTCTGCTTGATTCTGTGTTGATATTGTAAGGAGAAATTCTGTCTTGGTCACTCATGAGAGTTAAAGGGTTAAGGCAAGGATGAAATGATCACTGTTACACTGTGAACAGGAATATTGAAAATGGTCATTATTTTTTTCCAATTATTGCATGCGACGTATGAGAACATATAATGTTATTTATGAATGTTTAATCATTTTCATGGAATTTTTGTTATTTTCTGTGCTACCTCCTTTCCGAGATAACCTGCTACAGGGAGGGGGGATGGGGGTAACACATGACAAGTGAACGTAATTGAGTGCTATGGATAAGTCTCAGCCTCAATATTTTTTGTTTAACTCTAAAGATAAAGTTATTTCAGACCTTAACTATGTTTTTGCTCATGATCAAAACTTGATTTTGCCTCTTATTCTCCAGAGAGAGGCAGTCATACTTCATGGAGTGGATGACCCTGTTTGATTGGTTAGGCCTATTGCTGGTCCTTTGTATCATACCCCTGCGGTACGCTGGTAGCAAAGCTCAGTGGACGATAGCATCTCTAGCTATATTGTTCAATTTCCTAAGGATATTTAAGTTTTCGTCAGTGACAAGGTAAACCACAACTGGCAAGTTACAATTTTAGTAATGTTAATGACTTAAATTGTAGGATGCGTTATTTCTTATGCGTTATTTACAGGATACGTTATTTGTGTTTGAGATAGACACAGTTTTGTGATTTTTGATTTGTGATCTGTGTAATCTAGCTCCCATATCTAACATATCTCATCCTATCCAGGACCACAGGCTTGTATACGAAAACTTTGGCTAAGATCATCCAGCAAGATCTGACACGATTTATGGCAGTTTTCGCCGTGGTCTTCCTTCCTTTCTGTGGAGCTTTGTTTTTATCTCTCCGTTGCTCTGGACAAAACCATCAATTTAGGTACGCCTTGATTCTTTGGTTTGCTTCACAGTTTCATCAATAAAATCCCTGCCATTTTAAAATTCCTCAGTTCATGCCTGTCATCACTCTTTTTCGAGTAATTCTGTATATATTAATAGGTATATATTATTATTATATTATATATATTATTATATATTATTATATAGTAGTATAATAATAATTAATTCTAAGGCAACCTATACTTGAAAGGTCACGATGACACAAATCGTTTCTTTTCTTGTTGCGTGAGCGTCCAAATCATTTAAATTCATTCTTTCGTTTACTTTTGCTTTAACTTAGTGGCATAGGAGACGTGTTCCTCAGCGGTCTTCGAGCATTGTCTGATCAACGACCCATTGCGGAAGATTATTCAAACTTCAAGTAAGTTTATGATTACTATTTCTCCATTGTGATTATCACAACTTTAAATTATCAGCTCAGGAAAACAGCTAAGCGCCCACACTCGTTGTGGGTGTTGTCTCCTTTGTAGGAAATGTCTGTCGGCTTTTGTCAATATGCCCCGACTTTCACAAAGTTTGGTGTATATTTTGTGTTACAGCTGGCTCTCCATTCTGTTAATGCTGGCTTACATGGGAACTGTACTTGTGATTTTACTCAACATACTCATAGCGCAGATGAGCACGACCTACATTCAGGCCAAGAAAGTCGCCCGTGTGGAGTATGATGTGGATCGTATTTTACAGCTCACTCGCATGGAGAGATTTCCTTTTCTGGTATGTTTCTGTAAAGTTTGAAGACCAAGCGTTGACTAAATTACAAATAAATGGGCGTTATCAAGGGTTTGAGGTCATGTCAGCACGGTGTGTACGAACCTATGATATGTGTGATTAAGGTGGGCAGCATGTGGAGGGAAAGCACTTTAAGAGGATTAATGAAAAGATGCCTTACTTTTGAGAGTGACATTGTGTACAACTAGCATTGCCAATATAATTTGAATTAAATCTTACCCGATAAGTGCCTCACATTTTACTTCTGGCTTCGAAAAGTCATGGCATCTCAGTATAGTGGTAGGTCGTGGCTAGGTTCTTAATGTGTTTACTTCTATAGAGGTAAATTGTTTAATGACTTCAGTCGTGAATTTGATTGCATTTTATAGAATTTGCGCGTAAAGTACTACAAGGAAGGAGAATGGATCAGTGAAAAGAAACTTGCGGAAGGTTTGTTGTTAATCAAGATAGTCCAAAGTCTTTTTATTTCGATGTTGCCAGTGATTGACCCGGAGCCCTGAAAATTGGAAAAAATTGGCAAAAGGGAAGGTGAAGGAGAGGTTGGTCTTTTCTACTCAACTGTTTCCAAATAACATTCAATGATAAAAGAAAAAAGTTTTTAAATGGTTGCATCTTACAGTTTTCCGATGGATGCAATCTAAATGCTTTACTTTTTCCTAGAGCTTCTAGAATTTAGTGAAGATCGGAATCCTTGGGAATCAGTGGAAGAAAAACTTAATGCGATAAGGTGAGAATCATTCGTTCATCACGTTTCACTCAGCCGCCCTCCGAGTATCTGTGCATCCAATCGACCCCCATTTTGCTGCCCATAACGTTCTGTTAAATATATGAATCAATTTATTTCCGTAGAGATATGATGCGAACGATGGTAAAACAGATGAGGCCTGGAAGAAAATGAACAGCTTCTGGTTACAGTGGAAACAATGAGACTCTGTCTGTTTTATTTCAACCTGTTTTTCCTTTGAACTTGCAAAAATCTCGAGCATT